ATGTATAACTGGTCGCAGTCCTCCTGGCACTTAACAGCATATACAACATTGCTCTGTTTGTGCCGGGGCACCTGTTAACAATAGGTGTTAATTAGGTGTCAACGATAGCCATGTGATGTGAGTATCAGTCACATGGAGGCAGGGCTTAAAAGCCTGAATTTAGCCTGAAACTCTCAGACTGAAGAAGTCTCTTGGAGGAGAGACGAAACGTTTCATTAGAGAAGAACCCGTCCAGAAGGCCTATACTATTTTTTTCTTTTTTAATGTCTAGGATCTTAGAAATTCCCACATCAGAGTGTGATTTGAACGCACCATTAGTTCGCCTGCGATCACGTGACTTGCAGAAACCGGAAGTAGGTTTCCGCGCTCCGCTTTTTCGAAGTTTTCCCGTCCGGTTCGGCACATGGTTCRGATGAATGTCTCTTTAAAGCCGAGGGGACAAGAGGAGGGACATCTTCAGCTGAACATTAATCGGTCAAATGGACGGTAAAGACGTGTTTTTGGACAATATGTGAGACAAAATGTCCTCCGGCGGTCTTTATAACTGAGTGTCAGAGCATGGACAGTTCACTTTCTGCTTTATTTACCAACTAAATACAGAATTTCTGTGAAAACTGTTACTAAAAACAAAGAGAAGTTAAATTTATTTTAATTTAGGACGTGACTTTAAATGTTAAGCTGTTTGGTTAAAATAAACTAAAGCAGATAAAATAATAGAATGCAGACATGGGCTTCTGCTTGGTGTGTGTTTTAAATTGATTAATTTTTGCAAATTAAAAAAATTAATTGTAGTCTCTGTTAAAAAAAAAGCACCCACCAGTATGATGCTGCCACCACCGTGCTTCAGTGTGGGGATCTGGTTCTCGGTCCCTCAGAGGTCCTTCTCTCTCTGTGTGGTGGACTGAGCAGGTCTTGGAAGAGTCCCAGTTGTGGATTCTGTAGTTTCTGCTCACCTGTATGGTTGTTAGAGGAGGGGGCGGAGCCTTAGTTTTACCTGAGGAAAACAAATGGCTGAAAAAGTCTCGACCAGATTGGACATTTTTCAGGTGTTTCATAGAAAAACAGATGTATTTTGTGTTTTCAGCTGATCCCAGCGACGTCACGCCGACCTCGTCCAACAGGAAGTCCTCGGCCATCACAGGAAGTGCGAGAAAGATCAAAGACAACGCAGCCGACTGGCACAACCTGATGCTGAGGTGGGACAAGCTGAACGGGGAGGGGTTCAGCTCGGCGACAAACATCGTCAACATGAGGCGGTGAGGTTTTAAAAACATTCAGTTTTAGCTTTATAAATGAAAAGAGAAATAAATGTTTCACTTGCTGCATCAGTCAGACCCTCAGCTCTCAGGGAGGTGGTCTGGGTGAGTCCACCTCAGTTCCATCGGACCAGCTTCAGGCGGTCGAGGCGTCTCTGCAGGAAGAATGCTCCAGACTCCAGGAAGTGGTCCAGAAAATGGTGAATCCTCGTCTGGTCTGAGGGTTTACTTCTGCTTCCTGGAGTTTCTGTTAGGAAACGTTTGTTTTCCTGCTCAGGCTGCTGTGCTGAAGAAGATGGAGCGTCTGGTGGAGACGCAGAGAGGCATTCAGGAACTGGAGCAGTTTCAGTTTGGACCTGGAGGGAGGACGGTTCCTCTGTTTCACAGCTGGACCACCAAAGACTTCGGTTAGTCGGCCCGACTTTGCCTCCTAGTTTCTACCGTGAAGCAGTTTGTTGTTTTAAGTTGTTTTAAAGTAAAAATTATGCTTTTAAAGGGATCCATGATTAGTTGTAACATTACTTTATTTGATAAACATTTATTTTAACTAAAAAATAAAGACTGTAAAAATACTGCAGGCTGTTAATTTTGTACATTTTTAAAAATATATTTCAACACGGACGGAGCCATTTGATTTAAAGGGATCCCTGATTAGTTGTAACATTAGACATTATTTGATAAACATTTATTTTAACTAAAAAATAAAGACTGTAAAAATACTGTAGGCTGTTAATTTTGTACATTTTTAAAAATATATTTCAACACGGACGGAGCCATTTTATTTACACACAAAGCATTCTGGGTAAATGATGACATGGATAGGTCCTCGGTGCGAGGCTGCTAGCGAGTTATATCCACCCTGAAGGTTAATCTTGGACAATATCTGATGATCGACTCTTTTAAATGAAACCAGAGAGCGTTGACAGAGAGGAGAAGGTAGAAATGACTCAGCCTGGAACTGAAAATATGGATGGAGGACAACAGTTTAGCTTGTTTGTCGCGTTAGCGCTGAGCTAATACATATAAAGCAATATAGCGTCGGTGCTAAGACTAAAGCTAACAGGCTAAGCTGATGTTGTTCTTCCATGAAGCAGCTCTGTTGTCCTCCGTCCATATTTTCAGTTCCAGGCTGAGTCATTTCTACCTTCTCCTCTCTGTCAACGCTCTCTGGTTTCATTTAAAAGAGTCGATCATCAGATATTGTCCAAGATTAACCTTCAGGGTGGATATAGCTCGCTAGCAGCCTCGCACCGAGGACCTATCCACGTCATCATTTACCCAGAATGCTTTGTGTGGAAATAAAATGGCTCCGTCCGTGTTAAAATATATTTAAAAATGTACAAAACTAAACAGACTACAGTATTTTTACAGACTTTATTTTACAGTTAATATGTTTATCAAATAAAGTCTGTTACAACTAATCGGGGATCCCTTTAAATCCTTCTGTCTCCTTATTGTAGCTCCACAACCCCTCTTTCAACTCGTTTTGGTGCTGTATCTTTAAATGCAAATGGGGCGCGTTAAACTCTGCCCCCTTTTATCCCGTTCCACCATTTTTGTAGTTTGATAAGAGATACGGTTAGTCTGACCCAGACCCTGATCCAGGGTCTAACTGAAACCCTGATCCAGATCAGAGTCAGACCTCTGAACTCAGGTCTCGTGTGTTTGTCTGGTCCTCAGAGCAGACCTGCAGCCTCCTGTTGGTGGACTTCAGGCAGGAGCTGAAGCTGAAGCAGATGATCCTGGAGGAACTGGCTCACACCACCAACCCAGACCTGAACCTGGTCTACCTGTCCTGCTGGCTCCACCAGCCGTTTTTCCAGACCCAGACCAGACTGAGCCTGGAGGCCCTGCTGCTGGAGACGGGACATCGTCCTCTGTGAGGACGTTCACTTTCTCAGAGTCTCCTTCCATCCTGACTCAGATTATCCAGCTGCTGRTCATCGTTACCAAACTCAGATATAACTCGTATTGTTGCTGCCTCTTTAGGAAACAACGGCTCAATGAAAGCTGAGCTGAATAAACCACCAGAGTTCAGTTTGACACGTGGTTTTATTGGACAAACATGAAACCTACTGGATGAACTCTGCACCCAAACTATCAAAACCACAGATTAATAAATTCCTCTGATTGTTCTCAGATTACACACACACACGTTTCAAAAACATAAAAAAATAAGAATAAAAATAGTGCAACTTTTTAAAACTTAGTTCTTTGTACGTATCTACATATAAACATTCAGCAAACCAGTTTGAAACGAAGGTGTGGAAACACAGAGGAGAATAATAAATATAAAATAACACGGTGACATCATCATCTTCATCATGGACATCAATTAAATGTAGGACTCGTTCTGACTCGATGTGTAAAAATGAGTCCATTAAGAAATGATCCAGTAAACCCGGTAACTAAAATTTCAAATAATCTACATTTAAAGAATTTTTTTAAATCTTTATAATGGACTGTTTTTCTCTGCTGTAGCACTGAGGAAATCCCTTCATTTAATGCAAATAACTGACATCGTTTCAGTCTATGGTAAGAAATTCAACAAACTACCAATTATTAATAATTTAGTAGGAGAATTTCAAATAATATAAAATGTTTTTATTCTGTTCCATTTTTCCATCATGGGTCATATTTTAATTTATTCTCGTAATAAGAGCATTTTATTGTGTTTTCTTGGGTGAAACAATTATAACAAGACGGAAACCTTCATCTCTCGTCAGTTTGCTGCTGTTGAAACTTTTCTGCCATTTTCGCAAAAAAACAAAAAACTATTTAGCGAACGTGATTTTACTGCAAACTTTTTTAAATACTGGCTTAATATTTGTTTCCGGTTCAAAATTAACGCCAACATTCGGAGTGTTTTTGTTCTTTACTCCGGTATTTTTCCAGTAGTTAACGAGCGAAAGTGATCGCAGAGAAACAAACTGTAAAACCAAACAAGAGGAAAATCTCTGAACTTTTAGGTGAAACTCTGAGAACCCGAAAGAAAAGAACGAGTAAAACAGCAAACYAACACCGGAGATGTTCTGCGTTTTATCCAGCTAAAGTTCCATCATCATCCTCGGCTACAATAAGAGTAAAAAAAGATAAACGTTAATTTGACCTTTTCCCCTCAACGGTTTGATTTTAATCTTGGGTTGTAAAAACAAACGTTGGCTTAGAGATTTAAAACTTTAAAGAGTTATGTTTTAGTTTTACAGTAATTCCTATGAGTTTATTAGTTTAAAATGAAATAGTTTCCCCGGTGACACTAAATAAAAGCGTGGCCATGAGAGAAAACTCGTGACCACACTTTCTTTTTTTAAGCAGTGTCACCAGACGAGCCGTTTGTGGACATAAAGGAAAACAAATGTTGAAAATGACAATCTGTAAACTGATGATGAAACTCTGCTCCGAGTGTTTTTAAACGCAGCTGTTTGTGCTTCCTGGCCACACCGGGGGTATTTAGTGGCGGTGGTAACAGTTGTTTGAACTGCGTTTCAGAAACAATGACGCAGCTTTTTATCACTTTAAAGCCATAAAAATAAAATTGTTGAAATTATTTATTTTTGTCTGTCTTGTTTGATCCTGATGTCCCCGTAAAACTCTTGAAAATGGAGAGAAGGCTGTGATGGAACTGAAGGAAAAATAAAAGGCTATAAACATTTTTGTTTGTTTTGATGTTGTTCGTGTGGAACYTCGCCCTCTGCTGGCGCCGACCGGGTATTTCAGCATTTTTGTTACAATGTGGGCTACGATGTGAACCAGTTGTGGTGTGGACAGGTCCTGACTCACTGACTTGGACTGAAGAGACTAACAGGTATGTTAGAGCTTTATTCCACACAGACAGGTATTTAACAAGTCTTTAAGAGTCCACCTGTCTCTGATAATCACCTCTGTGGAGCTAGTGTTGGTCCGCTCGAACCACCGGATAAATCCCATGTTTTAAAAATGTTTCTGACTCAAGTTTTTGTTTTACTGATGTCCAGAAGGTTTACTGAGAGATTTTGTCTCCGTTTGAAGCCTCGATGCCCAGCAGGGCCTGGACTGCTTCCAGGGGGACTCCCTCAGGGGCCTGGATGTGCATGGTAGTCCCYTCGGGTCCGTTGACGATAACGATGCCGTTTGATCCAGGCTCTGCCAGCTGGARTGTGAGCTGCTCTGTCTGGATGTAGATCTCCTGGCCCTCCTGCAGCTCCTTGGCCTCCGGGGACTCAGCTGAGGACTCAGCCTGGGACTTGGCCCCCCGCTGGGGCTGAGGGGTGTCTGTGGTCTGGGACTCGGCCTGGGACTTGTCCCTCCACTGGGGCTGAGGGGTGTCTGTGGTCTGGGACTCGGCCTGGGACTTGTCCCTCCACTGGGGCTGAGGGGTGTCTGTGGTCTGGGACTCGGCCTGGGACTTGTCCCTCCACTGGGGCTGATGGGTGTCTGTGGTCTGGGACTCGGCCTGGGACTTGTCCCCCTGCTGGGGCTGAGGGGTGTCTGTGGTCTGGGACTCGGCCTGGGACTTGTCCCCCTGCTGGGGCTGAGGGGTGTCTGTGGTCTGGTCTAAACTGGACTCAGCTGTCTTTGTTCTCGGACCAAAACCACCGTGTGGTTCTGTCACCTGGCCTGCGACGGTAGTGTCCTGTTCCAGGTTCATGGCCCCCTCTTCCTGCACCTCCATTGGGGCGTCAGGAGGTGGGGCCTGGGAGGAGTCGGCCTGAGCAGACAAGCTGAAAGATGACGACAAACGCGTTCAGACTTCAGGTGAGATAAGTCAGGATTAGTGAGGTCGGGCTCGGCTCACCTGGAGGTAGGGTCAGCGGAGGTGGTCTGCAGTTTGGAGCCTTCTGAGATCACCAGAGGGGAGACGGAGACCGAGCTGGGTTTCAGATGAGTGACAGCTGGGGTCCCCACGGCCCCACCTGCTGAGACACGGTTCAACCAGTGAACAAGATCTAATGGTAAATATTTCACACCTGAGAGGCTCTTCATCCTAATCTGTGTTCATCCAAACACCAACGCTCATTTTATTTACAGAGAAAAACACAAACCTGGATTTTATCACTGAGTAGAGCTCTAAATCCATTCAGTTCAATTTGATTCAATCTGCTCTTAAATAATGAAAATGGTTCAGCTGTGATGCAAAATAATAATCACTTTATTTTTCTTTTCACCAAAAACAACAGGTTTTAAGGGCAAACTTGTAAATTGGAGTTTAATCTTGAAACAAAACAAGTTTCAAAGGTTTTAAAAGGACTTGACTGTGACAGTGTTGTTGGATACATTCATTTTAAGAAATGAAGAATAATTTTCTTGATTTATTTACTAACGGGTGCCCATTAGTCTCTGCCGAGGAAGAGACTAGTCTTCCTGGGGCCCAACATACAAAAACAAAACATCAATAATGCAATCAACAAAACAAACATATCAAAACTAAAACAAATCAACCGACTTCATCTCTTAAAACACATGATGAATAAGAAGTGATGGAATAAGGCTGCAGGAGAAGGGGTGGACTAATATAAATATAGATGTGGTGTTTCACACATCTCTACCTGCTGACAACAGTTTCAGTCAGATGTTTACATACTGTAGTTTTCCTCTAGTGTAAATCTTTACAAACAGATGTCACCATAGTTTCTGTTTAAGTTCTGCAGAGAGTCAGCTGTAATGTTTTGATCCAGACAACTTGTTGTCAGAAGCTAACGTTAGCGTTGAACATCAACCGGATGTAAACATACAGCTAGCCAGGAGGGACACAAAATATAGAAACACGCCACAGTTTCATCACACACAAGACACTATGAGAAAAATCCATCTCATGTCTGAATCCATTTTCACCAGTTTAAATTAAACTGGTCCGAGATCGATTAAACTGATTTWTTTTACCCAGCTTTAATACGGCGGTAAACCAAAGTACCACAGTACCAAAGTACTGTTGTACCAAAGTACAGTTATACCAAAGTACAGTCGTACCATCATACCAAAGTACCATCATACCAAAGTACCGTCTTACCAAAGTACCATCATACCAAAGTACCATCGTACTAAAGTACTGCTGTACAATCGTACAAAAGTACTAATGTACCACAGTACCGTCATACCAAAGTACCGTCGTACCAAAGTACCATTGTAAAAAAGTACCATTGTACCACAGTACAGTCGTACCAAAGAACAGTCGTACCGTCGTTCAAAAGTACTGTTGTACCACAGTACCTTCGTACCAAAGTACTGTTGTACCAAAGTACCGTGGTGCCAAATTAACGTCGTACCAAAGCACAGTCATACCAAAGTACCGTTGTACTGTCGTACCGCTCCAGCCTGCCTCCACCTGAAGGTACCAACTGTCCACAGCCTCCAACACAATCCAGCCCAGTAAAGCTGAGGTACCTGTTTGTGGTAAAGAGCCTCTCTGGTCGTCGGTGATGCTGTTCTCCATCTTAAATCTCTTGGATGGTGGTAACATCTTGGAGTTCTGGGAAACCAAACAGATCCAGGATGAGTCTGGACGGTTTGATCACATCAGGTTAGTTCTCTCCACTCAGAACCACCAGACTTTATTCTGTTTACCTCCAGGTACCGGGCGTTCTTGTTGGTCACGCTCGAGGCAGGTGATGCTCCGGGAACCACCTTCATCCTGTTCACCTCGTCCAGGATCCCCAGAGACCTGGCCACCTGAAACCAGGAAATCCAGATCAGAACTGAGAAGCGGCAGTGTTTCTCAGCGCAGAGACAAAGCTCTTCTGACCTCGATGTTTCTGACTTCCACGGGTGTGTCTCCACTTTGAGGACTGCTGATGTACTCCTGAGCCGCCTGCCGGACGTGAGCCTGCAGGGACTCGAACTCTCGGTAGATTTCCGGGAAGCTGGTGCATGTGGGACTCCCGCAGTCCACCTGAAACAAGACCATGTGTAAAACCCTTCAGTGTCTCGGAAGATGAATGACACGTCGACCCAAGCACTGGAACCTGAAACCCACTGACCTTGGCCAGCAGCAGCTCCCACAGACTCAACACTTCGGTCAAATGAGGAAGAACGACGTCGGTCAGCTCTTCCACCTCACACTGCTCCACAAGCTGGAAGCACCGTGTTAAAGAACACGTCAGTTCATTAACGGTGCCGGCACAGAACCTCCACTTCAAAAGATCTGAAGCTTTAAGCGTACCTCGAGGAGCCGGTCTCGCCTCCTCTTCACCTGCTGGTCTGCTGTCAGCGGGGTCACGCCGCTTCTCGGATACCGACCGCGATGGACCGGTCTGCCCACGAA